GGGGGCGGTGGCGGTGGCCAGGGCGGCGGCGGGCGGCTCCGGGGAGTCAGGGCCCCGGCGGCAGGGTCGCCGCCCCGCGGGCCTGAGGGGATTTTTCGGAGCCGGGCAGCCGGAAACTGAAAGTCGGAGCGGGGCCGGCGCAGGAAAGTTCGCGAACGCCCGCGGGCGTCCACGGCGGCTCCGGTCGCGGGCCGTGGCGCGGGGTCCCCACGCGGTGACATGCGGTCCGCAACGCCCCGGCCCACTGTGCGAGGTCACGGCCGGGGGGCCACGACCCGGGGTCACAGCGTTCCACCCACCAGCCTGGCTGCCTTGAACTTTGGTTGCTGGCCTGTGCGCCGCGTACCCCTTGCCTTGACCCCAGCTGTGGGCTCCCCTGCGCCTACCTGGTGCTCCCTTCTTCCTCCGAGAGGCGGGTCCACCTTTTCTCACCCTGTTGCGCCCTCGCCCCTGCGACTTGTCCCGGAGGTATCAGTGTCTCCAGCCGCCTGTCTTCCTCACCTGCTCTCTCGGTTCCCTGTCCTCAGCCCCCCTCCCCCCCCCCACCTCCTGTGGCTCCGGAGCCTTCACACTTGACCCTTGAACATACAAGGGGGTTGGGGCGCCAACCCCCCCCCCCCCTCCCTGCGCAGTTGAAAATCTGCGTGTAACGTTTTTTTCTTCCTTTCTTTTTTTTTGAAATGGGAACGCTTCCCAAATTTTCGGGTCATCGTGCAGAGGCCACACTAAGTGCTGTCTCGTTCCAGTTTTCGGACGTGTGCTGCGGAGTGAGCACGCCTGTGACTCCCGCCTTCACTTAGCTAGCAGCCTGCGGTTGGGCAGAAGCCCTGGCCATCGTGCGAAGAGCCGGCTGCCCCAGACCTCCTTGTGTGTGGTGTGCCGGATTCTGACCGTGCGTGCGTTAGAGGAAGATGGTAAAATCGTAGGGAGGAGAAAGCACGTTTACTGCAACGGGCTGTAAACAGTCTGTGCAGAAGCGGATCCGAGCGGTTCAGACCTACGTTCAAAGATCAGCTGTCACACTAGGGTGCCAGTCACAGACAGCACTGTCGCGTCCTGCAGCCTGTGAGTAGAGGTGGGGTGTCCCGTGTGTGGGCAGGAGCCCGGTGAGCGTCCCCATGATGAAGGTGAGGCCCAGATCCTGGAGTGGGGCCGCTCGGAACTGTCCGTGGAGGAGCCTGGGACAGAGAGAGTGTGTGTGAGAGAGAGAGAGTGCACGCCAGCGAGCGAGCAAGCCAGCGAGTGTGGGGCAGAGCACGGGGGGGCGTGCTGGGCCAGCGCAGCAGCTCTCAGCAGAGGGGGCATCTGGAGGGCAGTGGCGTCTGTCGACTCGGTTGCTGGTTTTAGGTGCAGGTCTCAGTCAACCCGAAATTGTTGCTCGAGTTTTATTTTTCTTGAACAGCTTAATTGCAGTGTGATTTACGCACCACGGTATTCGCTAATGCTTGAATCAAGAAACAAGGGGCGCCTGGGTGGCTCAGTCGGTTGAGCGTCGGACTTCAGTCCAGGTCATGATCTCGCGGTTCGTGGGTTCGAGCCCCGCGTCGGGCTCTGTGCTGACGGCTCAGAGCCTGGAGCCTGCTTCGGATTCTGTGTCTCCTCTGTCTCTGTCTCTCCCCTGCTCACACACTGTGTCTCTCTCTCAAAAATCTTAAAAAAACAAAAATGCTAAGAGTTGATTTGTTTAAAGCCTTTGGAAGCCACAGAGCCCCCCAGTGCTTCTAGAAGTGGTGTCTCCACGCATCTGAGCAGACGCAGATCTCTCCCCTCTCCCCGGACACCTGGTTCTCAGAATAGAGCCCAATCCCCGTGGCCGCAGTCCCCAAACGCATGCACTGTGACCTCGGGCCTCTGTGCTGGTCCGGTGCCTCCGGTGCCCTGCTGTGTTGTGTCACAGATCTCTGCATCCTGTGGTCCTGTCCTGTTACCTGCCTCAGTGTCCTGGGAGGGGGGACGGCAGGCTGTAAACGCCCGTGCCATGTGATGGAGAGAGCCTTGCTGGCTCCCTCGGAGGGGGCTCCAAGGGGAGGGGGCTTTCAGCCAGGGGTTCTCTCTCTCGAGCGGTTTCTAAACTTCCCAGGGAAATAAATGCGAATGTCACTCGGGGACCATGTTCGTCCTGCAGTATTGGTCATGCTCTGGGTGCTAGAGCACAGGATGTGCCATACTCGCTGGTCGCCGGAGAACGCATTTTCTCTGGGAGGATAAAGGCCTTTTCACTTTGTGTTTTGAGGGCCGCATCTGGGTCCCTCTCTGGCGGTGGGCAGTTGCCAGGTGGGTTTCCACGGCGGGACATCACGAACATGCCCAGAGGCCAGGGCAGGAAGGTCCAGAGAAGAAGACCCGGAAGAAATTACCCACACACCCCGCAGACGATGCCCAGAACGGGGAGCACATCTTCGTCGTGTTCTGGAGTCCAGGCCCGTGGGCGGTGCGCCATTCTCCTTGCACTGGGCCCGCTCCTTCATGGGCATGCGTGAACCACTCTCAAGCCTGGTTCTTGCGTCCACAGGGAGGACATGTCCCTGTCCCGCCACAGGGCCTCACCCCTGCACAGAGGGTGCTGAGCCTGGGAGGAGGGTGCAGGAGGCAGGCTCAGCGGAAGCCGTCCGGGGTCTGAGCTGCGACGTGCGAGCTCTGAGTGGGAGCAGCATCGGGGCCGCGTCCCCTGCGGGGCCCAGTGGGCAGCGGAGCAGGTGACCTGGCTGTGGTTTAGGGAGGTGAGGACTCAGCGGGTGGGGGGTAGGAGGAGGATGGGGCATGACTCTGAAGGGACACTTCATCCCGGTTCCGGGCTCGGCGTGCCCCACTTTGGAATGGTGTGGAGGAAGGGCTGGCTTCACGGGTACCGGAGCCCTGCACCCCGTGCCCAGGCCTGGGTCCCTCCTCCTGCCCTCCCAGTCCCTGCCTCCTGGCGCTTAGCTTTCATTCCAGAGGGACAGGCCCACACAAGGAGGCCAGCACGGTGCGGTGTCGGTGACAGGTGACAGGGAAGGCCTTGCTGAGAAAGAGATGCTGGGACGGGCAGGGTGGAGGAAGGGTGGAGGCCCAGGCCTGCCTGCAGCAATGTGGTCAGATTCCAGGGGTCTGTGGAGGGTAGAGCCAATGGATCTACTGATGCATTGGAGACGGTGGATGAGAGAGAGAGACCGTGGTCTCTGAGGATTCCACTGGAGCGACCGAAGGGGGGCCCAGCTCTCCAGGGGAATGCGGATGTGCAGGCACTCACGCTCAGAGGTCGGGGAGAGGGGAGGGGAGCGGGGTGGTCAGCTGGGTCAGGTGGAACGAAGGGACAGTCGCTGCATCATGACTGATCACCTTGTCCCTGCCGAGGGCCCTGGTTTTTAGTCAGAGAGACTCAAGATCAACATTTAGGTGGTACGAAGGCTCGCGCGCGCCAGCACCTAGGACCAGAAACACGTATCGCGCGCGCCAGCACCTAGGACCAGAAACACGTAGGAGCGCCTGGGTGGCTCAGGTCACAAACTCACTGTTCATGAGTTCGAGCCCCGTGTCGGGCTCTGTCCTGACTCCCGGGAGCCTGGAGCCTGCTTCGGATTCTGTGTCTCCCTCTCCCTCTGCCCCTCCCCTGCTCGCACTCTGTCTCTCTCTCTCTCTCTCTCAAAAGTAAATATTAAACACACACTCACCCACCCGCAGTGTCTGCTCATAATGCCTTAGTTTAGAGCGTCGGCGCATGTGAAGGTGTCCCCGTGCTCTGCACCCAGGCCGGGCCCCGGGCTTGTGAAGGGGCTGCCGCCAGCTCCACCTGCAGCAGAGGAAACGGCAGGGCAGCACACGGTGCCAGATGCACCTCTCTTTCGGGGCTTCTTCCTGTCAGAACCTGACTTGCGGGTTCTCTGCAATTAAAAACTATTTTTTTTTACTATTTATTTATTTTTGAAATAGCGCGTGAGTGCGCGCGAGCCCGGGAGGGGCAGAGAGGGGCCAGAGGGTCCGAAGCGGGATCCATGCTGACGACGTAGAGCCCAGTGTGGGGCTCGAACTCACGGACCGTGAGATCATGAGCCGAGCCAAAGTCGGGTGCTTCGCGGACTGAGCCACCCAGGCGCCCTGCTCTACCATTTTTAGTATCGCGAGACAGAGTTATTTTGGATAAACGCGTACGGGTATATGTAATTAGAGATTTACATCTTTTTCTTAATCTTTAGAATTTATTTAAGCAGTCTCTACACCCGGTGTGGGGCTCGAACTCACGACCTCGAGATTGAGTTGCACCTCCTCGACTGAGCCAGCCAGGCTTCCCGAAACTCCATCTTTTTCTTTGGAAGTTGAGGCGCACGTACAGCAAAATATACAGATCCTGGGGGTACAGCTCGGCGCGCGGTCGTCTGCGTACCCGGGCCTCTCCGGCACGTCTGCGTTTCTATACTCGGCGCTTCTGACGCCAAACGTGGCATTCCTGTGACCTCTCCTTGGGTTCACTGAGTCTAGAGTGGCTCACAGAACTCAGGGAGACACTGATTCCGTGCAGAGCCAGGTGGGAAGATGCACAGGGCAGGTGTGGGGCAGGGCTGCCAGGCCCCCACGCCCTCCGGCGCGCCAGCCTCTCGGCACGGTGACGGGTCACCAGTCCGGGAGCGCTCTGAACCTCCCTGGTCCGGGTGTTACAGGGGCTCCTTCGTGAAAGTACGATCGATTGCCTTATTGGTCATGGGTGGTTAGGTCAGTCTCCGGCCCCTCTCCTCCCTCACAGGGGGCGGGCGTGAAAGGGGCTTATGAGTCACAGAAGATGCTCCCTTGGCCCCGTTGCTCTGGAAATCCCAGGGGTTTTAGGAGCTCTGTGCCAGGAACCAGGAAGGAGAGCAGACGTCTCGTGTGCCCCAGGCTCGTGCAGCCAGACGTCATCACTTCCCAGCTTGTGTTGTCGTGGGCTGGTTTGCCTGTTCTCAAACGTCACATAACTGGAACTATTCTGTAAATACTGTCTCGTCTCTGACAGAGATGCCCTTTTAACAAAATGTGAATCTGTTGTACGGAAGTTAACTGGAGCTTGTTTTGGGGGAATCAGTTAGTGTGAGATCCGGGGCAGACTGCATGGGAGTCCTCGTTCACACGTTCATTGCCAGTGGAGTTGCTCTGGTTATGAGCAACTTACCCGAGAGAGTCAGTATTTGGGAAATAGGCGGGAAGCTTGAAAGGGCCAGCAGGATGTTGAGGTTCCGGGTTGGGGTGCCCACGAGCCCCGAGTCCTGTTCTCCCGTGGCCACCCTGCCCACCGTCCTTCGTGCCTGTGTCGGGGCTGCTGACTGCGCTGGTCATCTGGGGAGGCCCAGATGGGTGGACATGTGCAGGCCGCCAGGGAGTCAGAAGTCCAGGCGCGGGGATGGGGAAGTTTTCTTCTGTGGTCGGGGCAGGCAGCCCGCCACGGCGGCGGGACTTGATGTCTTGATGGCCTTCAAAGCGTTACATTTTGGGGCAGTGCTTTTGAGTCTCTGTGATGTCTTTCGTTGTGGTTTGTAAAAGTTAAAATGCATTATAAACGAGATTTGAACACAACGTTTAAGGTCGTGAGCACTGAGAACTCCCCAGGCGTGGCATGGGCCGCGGCGGGACCCGGGGGCTGGTGCTGTGGCGCTGGGTGGAATCCGTGGGTCCTCCAGGGCCTGTCTCCGCATTTAGGACAGAAATACCGATCCCCGCCGTCCAGCTGTGTCGGGTAGTAGTGACCGCTGACCAGGCTGTGTTCGCGTGGTCATTGAGGCCTGGCCAGAGCTGACAGAGGTCAAGGCCAGAAAGAGACCACCCGTGTGGGTCTTGTACGTCTAATGGGAGCATAAGCTGATGGGCTAGGGCAGTGGGACCTGCCAAAGAAGGTGTGATCAGTCGGCCAAGAAGCCGGGTCTGGTTTCGAGAAGACAGAATGTCGGTGCCAGAATAAAGCTGTGTCTCACAGACTGTAGGGGAGGCTGCTCAGTGAGGTTTTCAAAAGAAAGCATCACCGTAATCCTCATACTGTCACGGAGCTGTTGGTTTCTTACTTGAGTCTCCTCTGCCCCCGTGTAACACAGTCGTGTGCTTACGCTCCTTTGCTTTTGATGTTGGATTTCATTTAAGGTAATAAATACAGAGTAGAGACCTAAAGCGTGGCTTTTTTTTTTTACCAGTGATTTTTAAAAATTTTTTAGTGTTTATCTTTGAGAGAGAAAGAGTGAGTGTGTGTGTGCGTGTGTGTGTGTGTGTGTGTGTGAGAGAGAGAGAGAGAGAGAGAGAGAGCGCGCGCGCGAGCGGGGGAGGGGCAGAGAGAGAGGGAGACCTAGAATCCGAAGCAGGCTCCAGGCTCCCAGCCTTCGGCACAGAGCCCGACGCGGGGCCCGAACCCACGAACCGCGAGATCATGACCTGAGCGGAAGTCAGACGCTTAACCGACTGAGCCACCCAGGCACGCCCCCGCTAACATAGTTTAGAGCGTTGATTTGTACGTCGTTGATGGCTCGTGAAATCACCTCGTGAGAGTAAGTGGACTTTCACGAGCCCTTCGCTCTTGGTAGTGCTTCTGTGTAGCACATCCGGACGTGGCCTTGAGAGGCGTGGGCTGAGGGGTCCTCCCTCCTCGGCTGCCCTGGCCTGCACTGTCGGTGTCTACCGAAAGGCTTTAGTAAGTGGCGCCTCGTAGCGCTTCTGTGTGCCGTCGGGCTCGAGAGAGTGAACTCCCCCGCTTGTCAGAGGGACAGATGGATGGGGCAGGGGCCCAGACACGCCCACACGTGCTGAGAGTGTGTGGACCAGTGAGAGGGCGCCGTGGCCTCCTGCCAAGTGGCCTCGGGCACGACACCTCATATGTCCTGTGGTTGGAGGAGTAAATGCCTGTGTGCTCTGGCACGCGGCCCAAGCGAGGCCTCGCCGACTACGAGTCCAGAAGCCTTGGTTGAAAGTGGCTGTGCCCGGCAGATGGGAGGCAGGGGCACACCGTCTGTTGCTGCCTCCTGTGGTGTCACACCAGCTTAGGACAGGGAAGACGGCCCCACGAACGTTGGAAAGAGGTGTCATTTCAGAACATCCTGGTTCGAAAGTTGGCGTGTTCCCCACGCACATCCATGAGAAGACACGGGGGTGTGTTTCCAGGGGCGTTTGGGGAAGAAAGCTCTTTGGAGCAACTGCAAACGGGCCAGGGTGGCTCTGAGGTCAAAGTGCTGCGTGTTCGGGTGGCACCTGGGTACTTGTCCAGCTTGGAGGGTTAGCAGGTACGGTTCTCTCTGGCTTTTTGAGATGCTGGTTGTTGATCTGTGTGTCCCACGCAAGGGGTCAGAACACTGTGGGAGCCTCTCCCCTGTCCTGGGAGCTCGTGTGTCCTGGGAGCCTTGGCAAGGCCTGGTGCACAGCGGCGGGCAGCTCTCTAGAGGGGGCACCCTGGTGATGGTGGCCAGGGAGCAGAGCGGTGGTGCCCGGCAGGCTGCGTGCCTGCTGTCAGGGGTGACGTTGGAGAGGCCGACGCGTGGGGTGGCCGCGTCCTGGGGGCTGCCTAGGGCCCGAGCACAGGCAGGTCAGAATTTGCTGCCCGCCAGGCTGATCTGTAGGAGGTCTGGGGGAGACAGGAAGGCACGAGGATAAGGGCTGCCGATGGCTGTGCAGCCAGAAGGTGGCCTCCCCGGATGCCGGCACTCGCTCTGTCCGCGGGTCAGCGAGCCGGGCCAGGCGACCTTGAGGACGGCCTGTTGGCCTGGGGGCTCTGGAGTGGGCATGCTGGCGCAGCTGTGCGGCGTGGGCAGAGCGCCACCCTGGCCGAGCCTCGATTTCCGTGTTTGTGGTGGGAGACGGGACTAGATCGTCTGCAGAGCTCCCCGTGGTGCTGAAATCCTGGTTCTCCGATTCCAGACCGCTGTTCGGCTTGGCGACCCCGACCCCTCACCGCCGGGCGAGGGCCATTTTCCGCGGGGGGTTCTTCTGCAGTCGAGGCGGCTCTTAGGCCCCTGCGTGACCCTCTCCTGCCCTGTGCTCTTCCTTAGGACGTGGCGGTTCGCGGCTCCCATGGCTGCGGCCAGCGTGACCCCTCCCGGCTCCCTAGACGTGTTGCAGCCTGGCTTCTCAAAGACCCTGCTGGGGACCAAGCCAGAGGACAAGTACCTGTGCTCGGCCTGCAGGAACGTCCTGCGCAGGCCCTTCCAGGCACAGTGCGGCCACCGCTACTGCTCCTACTGCCTGACCAGCATCCTGAGGTACTGGGGGCCGGTGGCGGGTGGCAGGTTGGGCCTCGGGTTGGGCCGTGCTCCCGGCGACACCCCCCGAAGGCAGAGGCGCACTGCAGATAGGAAAGTGAAGTTAGCGACCGAAGAGGAGGAGTCGCGGGTTGCCGGGGCAGCGTGGACACAGGGAGTGAAACGAACACCACGAGAGCCCGTCTGCTGCCACTGCTCCCTGGGTGTCCGTGCGCGTCATGTGGGCACGAGACAGCTGAAAATCACACTTGGGGCTCATGTTGCGTGTGCCTTGGAGGCACATGTCCCCAGGAGCTTGTGAAGTCTGGTCTGAGGGCCACTGGCATGTCGAGGGCCGGTGGGTGGGCCCAGGGAGCCAGCACCTCACGCCTGGGCGCCCGGCTGAGCCACCAGAGAGCACCTTTGTTCACAGCGGGAGGGTCACCGTTAGAGGATTGGAATCCTCTCCCCTGTTTTAAGTATTTTGTTTTTATTTATTTGTTTCCTTCTTAAGGTTTGTTTTTGAGAGACAGCATGAGCAGGGGAGGGGCGGAGAGAGAGGGGGAGACCCAGAATCCGAAGCGGGCTCCGGGCTCCGAGCTGTCAGCGCAGAGCCCGATGCGGGGCTCGAACCCACAAACTGTGAGATTGTGACCTGAGCCAAAGTCGGACACAACCCACTGAGCCACCCAGGCACCCCTAAACGTCTGAAACATTGGACGTCGACGCGTGCTCCTCCTTGATTCCATCTCAGTCTAGAAAGTGCAGAATGGGGGCGAGGAGTGGCGCTGGGCGGGCGGCCTAGTGCTCTCTGCTCTTTGCAGCGGGTTTGATGGCCGGCCCCTCGCTTCTCCCCCCAGCTCCGGGCCTCAGAACTGTGCCGCCTGTGTTCACGAAGGCATATACGAAGAGGGCATTTCTATTTTGGAAAGCGGTTCGGTAAGTGAAAGTCTTTAAGCAAAAAACGTCAAAACACAGAAAACGTTTCGAGGTTTCCTTTAGTGACACCAATGGCCTCGTGGCGTTCCGGCAGCTAGGACCCGCCCTCGCTGCCCCGGTGGCCGCTAGAGCTTGGGGCTGCTGCGTCTGCCGCTGGGCCTTGTTCTGGAAGGCTGGTGGCGGGGCAGGCAGGGGGCAGCGGGTGGAGGCCTAACCTAGGAATGCTGTCCTCAGGCGTTCCCGGACAACGCTGCGCGCAGGGAGGTGGAGAGCCTGCCGGCTGTGTGTCCCAGCGACGGCTGCACCTGGAAGGGGACCCTTAAAGAGTATGAGGTAGGGGCCCCCGCACCGGCTCGGCCTCGAGCCTGGACCCCATCCCCAAAGCAGCCCGCAGAGCCCTCGGTGAGCCTGCCGGCTGCAAGCCTGGCTGACGTCTGCAGAGGAGGCGGCGGCTGCTGACGACCCACCCGCGTGTGGACCCAGGGGCCCGGGGACTGTGGCCTCGGGTGGGGCTTGCACCTGACCGGGCCCGGGGTCCTCAGCTGTGCAGGGCTGTGGCGGGTGGCAGCGAGGCGGCCGGGTGCGCTAGGACCTTGTGCTGGCTCTGTGGGGCTGAACGTGCAGGAAAGTAGTTTTCTTGCTCGGTGGGATTTTTCCGTGAGTCTTCGGACTAGGGCTTTCTTTTCTCGAACTGTCTAGACGTTGGACATTGCAGGAGTAGCCACGTTCGAACTGCGATCACAGAAAGGCATCTGGCCAGTGACAGGGCGGTGGCTGCTGTTCCCATCCTGCCGTGGCCTGTCCCAGCCAGGCAAGGCTAGTGTGCGTCCCTGCGTTGGTACAGCGGGGCCTCTGTGTGACCGGACCTGCCCGTCCTCGTGCAGCGTCCACAGCTCGCTCGCTCGCTCGGCCGTCCTCTTAACTGGCGCAGCCCGCTTACTCGTGCACAAATGTCATGGCAGCCGAGCGTCCGCCAGCTGACGGTGGGACAGACGAGACACGGTCAGTCCACACCACGGAATAGGATTCAGCCGTAAAAGGGAGGGAACAAAACGGTGACACGTATGAACAGACCTTGAGGGTACTCCGTTCAGTGAGAGGAGCCCGACTTAGGGGACCGGTCCTGTGGCCATCCACTCCCGTGACAGCCCTGAAACAGCGCAACCCAGGGAGGCAAGAGGCGGCCAGGCCGCCGCCAGGACAAGAGGTTGGGACTGGCATGGAGCGGCAGGTGGGGCTCTCAGATGGGCAGCCCCATAGGCGAGGCTGGAGAGGCTGTGGGTACGGAAGCCTGGCTCTCCTAGGCTCAGGCTCAGGAGCTAGGCCTGCCCCGGGCCCCGGGCCAGCCCCAGCGTGGGGTGGGCCCTGGGCACTGAGTCGTGACGGCGAGGGAGGGCCCATCGGGTCTGAAACTGGGACCCGGGCTCCCGGCCTGTGTGCCGTCCTTCCCTCGTTCTCTTGACCCACTAGCCTTTTTGGTCTTCGGGCTCTCAGCCGCGTGTTTCCAGGGGAGCGGCCTGGCCGTGCCCAGGGAGGAGCCTCTGGTGGGGAAGGTGAGACGTGCTGTCCATCTAGCAGGCGCCTGGGGCCTCGAGTGGAGCAGCTCTCGGCTCCCTGCACCCTCACCGCTGCCTTCCTGGGAGTGAGACCCAGAGGCTCCCGGCCGTACCCGCACAGCGGGGCGGCCCTGCTCAGCACCACAGGCCTGCAGCCGTTACTGCCCGGGGCTGTCCCGACAGCAGGCCCTGGGGTTTGGGGTCTCTCCCGGGAGGGTGGGAAGCCCGAGCAGGCTCTGGGGGCTGGTGGGCCCAGGAAGTAGGCACAGTGGGCTGTGCTGCCTTCTGCAGGGACCCAGAGACCCCCTGGGGACAGGTGGAGTACCTCCCCCCCCCCTCCCCCCCACCTCCCGGTCTGGAAGGCCGGTTTCTGCTGCCTCCAGGCCCGCGGTGTGGGTGGGCGGTGGCTTCGTGGGCCTCCGGCTGAGGGCCAGGGACCGCAGCCAGCCTGTGGGCTCGGCCACGGCCCTGCAGGCATGCAGGCTGGAAAGTCCCTGGCTGGCCCGGAGAGCCCCGGAAAGTCCCTGAGAGGGTGGGTTCGGTCATGTGGGAGGGCGGGCGCTGCTCTGGGACACTGGGCCTGGCCTTTGGTAAACCCTGTCCCTGGCTGTGAACGTCACGGGCCTGGGTGAGATCAAGGCCTCTGTGCACACCGTCCTCCTCTCTGAGCCAGCTCGCTGCCCTTTGCGGGGCTGGGACCAGTGGTGTTGTGAAATGCTGGCGCTGTGGCTGAGCTGTTCGGAGAGTCCCGGTTAGCCTCTGAATATGTTTTTCCTTTGCAATAACGCCTGGTATTTTCTAAGAGCTCAATAATTTAAAACTCCAGTTCAAAGATGTTAGTGGGGCGCCTGCCAGGTGCCAGAGGTGCCCGTGTGCACAGCCCCAGGGCCGTTTCTCTGGGGGCGGGTGCAGGAGCCTGCGGCTGGAGGCAGAGGAGGGGCCGGCTGGCAGGGGGGAAGCTCTCCGCTGAAGGCGGGATGGGGGACAGGGGTGACTAGTGGTCACAGTTGAAAGGTGAGACCGAGTCAAGCCTGCTTGATGTCCCGCACATCCCTGTGAATTCAGAGTCAGCACAGCTCTTTTCACCGAGACGCTTAGTTTGAATTCTGGTTGAATAAAGGCTGATTTCTCCAAGGCGTGTGCTTCTCCCTGAGTGGACGTGAAGGTGGTCCCTCTGATCCCTCGAGGGTGGTGGTGCTGAGTGCCTGCTCCACAGAGGCCCTGGGATGATGAACTCAGGCCTCCACCGTCAGCCGGGCCCAGGGGCGGCCGTCAGCAGGGGGCTGCATGCCCTCAGCCCTCCCGGGGGTGCCCACTTGCTCTGTGCTTCCCTTCGGGCTCCCATGTTATGTGTTAACACTCCTTTAATGAAATCCAAGCACCTCAGCTGTGGCCGCTGTATCTTTTCCACTCTGAGCCGTGATCATTTCTGAGACTTGTCCTTGGTTCATTTCGAGTGTTTATGGTGTACCTGGTGTGGTTGCTGGATCGTGGTGGGGTATGTGACATCCACCTGCCAGCGCCCCAGGGACCCTGCGGCAAGTGCGGATGGATGGTGGGGGACCGGGCCGTGTGCCCAGCCGGGAGCCTTCGAGCAGCTGTGGGCAGGCAGCGGAGGAGCCCAGGGGCTGTGGGGGCGCTTCAGGGAGGCCGGGCGCAGGCTGTGAGGACCCGGGCTTTGTGCAGCCGGGCAGTCCACGACGTGTTCTTTAGACAGGCTGGGACCTCACCTGGCAGCATATGGGGTGCTCCGTCGGGCTGCCGCGGGGTCACCAGGGAGGCTGGCCGGGAATGTAGCATCTGGTCTGTATGTGTCCCCGTGAGAAGTCAGAGGGCAGGGGTGCCTGCCCCGGGAGACTGGTGACGTGGGGTCCGCGAGGAGGCGTGGGCGCCACCGGACGTGACATCCAAAGTTTCCACGCCGTGCGGGAAGGACACCGCACGTGTTCCGCCTCCCCGGGGCTCACCCGTGGCCTCTGCCCTGTACGCGCTGGGCTTTGGCGCCAACAGCCAGGCCCCTGGCGCGGGACGGAGACACGACCACCCCGTTCCCCAGTCGGGAAGAGCAGGTCGGAGGCTCCCCTGCTCCCCTCAGGGACCCCACAACCGGGATTCTGCAGGGAAACCCCAAAGACCACGCCCCTCGGGCATCGCAGCCCCGAGCTGCCCAGCCTGAACCTCGCTGGAGTGGCTGAGCCTGCTTCTGCTCTAGCTGGTCCAGAACTTTCCTCTCTCAGCCACCTCTGCCTCCCCGCCCGGCAGGCCCCACGTTGTCCCTGATGGGGCCTCGTGTGTCCTACCTACAACTTAGCACCGTGCTGAGAGTAGCCCAGGGGACACGTTCTGTAGGAGTGGACGCTTACCGGAGGCCCTGGAGGCGGCGGATCCGCGGGGGCGGGGGAGGGGAGGGGCCGTGTGTCACAGGACAGAGTCCAGTCTGGGAAGATGAATACGTTCTGGGGACGGACGCACGACAATGTGAATGTGCTCGATGCCCTCAAAAGCAGTTAAGATGATAAATTTGTGTCGTGTGTGTTTTGACACAATAAAAAGGAGGGCAGACAAACCTAGAGGTCTCTCCACCCGGCTCCCCTCTGCTGTTCCCCTTGCTGGGAACTTCGCGCCACGCCCGCAGGGAGTGCCAGGCTGGTCAGGGACCGGCGCCCTGGGGGCACTCCTGCCTCTCCCACCTTCCCCCCACCCACCGGCTTCTCTGCCCCAAGCCCCTCCCACAGCATCGTCCTCCAGCTGAGGTTCAGCCGGGTTCCAACCGGTTTCGACTCTCCCCTGCTCTCCCCTGCTCGTGGCTCTGTGGCTCCAGTCGGGAGACAGCACATCCCGCCCTCCTCACTGCACCTTCCTCCTCCGCGCCGGGGGGGAACCCCTGGCCGGGCCCTGCCTCCCGGGTCGGCACGTGCCCTCCCCAGGCCCACCGCCTGTGGGCTGTCAGCGCGGGCGTGGGATGAGCGGGTGGGCTCCCCGTCCTCTTCCGCTCGGTCCGGCCGCTGTGGTCCGTCCTCCCAGCACATCAGCCCTCATCACTCCTGTGCCTCCTGTCCACCGAGAGCCTGCCCCGCTCCGGGCCTGGCCGCCCTGCACCCAGCAGGCCGGCTTCGGCCCTCCGCCCTCCCGGCCCTCCGCCTCGGCCCGGGCTCCGTGGCCCTTCTCGCTCTCTGGCCAGTGATCCCGTCGTCCCCGAATGTCAGTCTGGAGCCTCGACGGGGTGGGATGTCCCTGGGGTGTCACGTGGGTGGGGTGCAGCCAGCTAGCGTGGAGTCCCCCCGCCCTCCCCTTTCCGGTCTCACCTGGAGCACGGGCGTCGGAGCGGATGAGTGCCCGGTGCTCGTGGCTTCGGGACGGGGCCCGGCGCCCGGCGTCGGAGCCCGAGCGGAGCCTCAGCCGGGACGGCCGGCTGTGTGCGCCCCGTGTCCGCCGCGTGCCCTGTTGACGCCGTGCTCCCTTTGTTGCCAGAGCTGCCACGAAGGACACTGCCCGTTCATGCTGACCGAGTGCCCGGCGTGCAGAGGCCTGGTTCGCCTCGGGGAGAAGGAGCGGCACTCGGAACAAGAGTGCCCGGAGAGGAGCCTCAGCTGCAGGCACTGCCGGGCGCCCTGCTGCTGGGCCGACCTGAAGGTGAGGGCGTCCGGCAGGGCTCCCCTAGCTCCTCGAGCCCCAACGCTGAGCCTGCCGGCCCGCCGTCGCGGCCGCTGTGGCGTTTTCGCCGCGTCCCACCAGTCCGTCGCTCGCAGCCAGCTGGGTGGAAGGTGCCTGGTAGGAACTCGGGCGGATCTGAAGGCAGAGCCGAGTGGTTTTAAAAACCCGTTTTATTTTAGAAAAACTCACACGGAGGGAGCCGCAGCGCCAGGCCTGGGCCACCCTCCCTGGAGCGTGCCCGTGTCCCCACGCGCCTGGCACCACGTGGCTCCCCCTGCTTGCTAGGGGGGTCCCAGGCTTTGTGTCGTGTCTTCTGGAAACTTTGAGAATGTGTTTCTGAGCACGTTTGCTCTTAGACCGCTGCACATGCCACCGTCCCTTCCGGGTCTCAGCGGCGACTCCCCGCCATCCCCGGCTCACTTGGTGCCCGTGTCTCCCGACATCTGATTTGTCGGGATCGGGGTCCAGACGGTCCCCACGCTGCATCTTGATGATGTGTCTGCAAGGTCTCTTTAATTGTGCTCTGCGGGGCTGCTTGTTTTTTTTTTTTTTTTTTTTTTTTTTTTTTTTTGCCGCTGTTCCTTGAAGAAGCTGGGCTGCACGTCTGTCCTTGCTGTGCCCCTCAGACCCCCGTTCTATAGACCATCCGGTCCAGAGGCCCGAGTGCGTCCACTCGCGGGGCATCTGGCCGCTCACAGGGCCAGGGTCTCAACGTCCCACGGCCTTGCTCCTCAGTGGCCTGGTTTCAGTTCGGGTGACCAGCAGCGGTGCTCTGCCCTGGTCGCCGTGGACGGCTTGTCCTCATGTGGCCCCGAGCTGCCAGATGGAGAAGAGGGGGTTCTGCTCTGACCCTCCCAAGTGACACTTGCGAGTGCCCGTGGGAGCTGCCCCGTCAGGGGTCTCGGGAGCCACGACCCCGGAACGAGGCCACGAGGTGGCAAGGGTGACCTCACACACGCCCCGGCTCCTGACCGCTGTCTTTCAGGCGCACCACGAAGTCTGCCCCAAGTTCCCCCTGACCTGTGACGGCTGTGGCAAGAAGAAGATCTCCCGCGAGAAAGTAAGTGGTCTCCTGGCGTCTGTGACGACGGGGCGGGGGCGTGCGCGTTGTGCCCCGTGCTCAGTGGTGGCCCGTGGGCCGCTGTTCTGTTACGCTTCCCACGATGGAAGTGACCCGGCCCGGGAGAAGTCGCACACGCCTGAGATCCTGGCCGCCGCTCAGTCTCACCCCTGCGCACACGCTCACCTGCATCCAGAACCCTGCAGGGCTGGGGGCAGGCTCCGAGCTCCCTGTAAGGAGAGAACGTACTGCGGGTTCATACTGACGCTTCCAGTTCGGATTTTTGCCTGATTCCGTGTGATCTCAGCCCTCTTGCCGCGGAGCGTCTCGGTGCCGGATCCCCTCGGCCTGGTGGCTTACGTGTGCCGCCCCGGCCTACGGCTGCTTTCACAGTGTCGGTCGTGGACCACGCTGGCGGCCTCGTTTCTGGGACTCACGCGCACGCCTCTGCTCTGGTGGCCCCGGGAGGCCGTCTCGGTGCTGAGCTGCCGTCCGCCTCGGCTTTCTAGTCTGACATCGCCCTTTACAGACGGACTGGGCTTCGAGTTTTGTAAACCGGTCGTGCGGGTGCCTGGTGGAAACCGGGGAGAGTGTGCTGACTGGCCGAGCGCAGGCCCCGCCCACAGGCACCGTGACAGACCCCCGCGGTGGCGGCAGATGGGGGTCTCGGGACTCCCATTTCCCCTCTCCCGGCGTGGGCCAGGCTGGGAGCTGTTCGCTCCGGGCTGGCCCTCATCCCTGACCGGGAACATCGGGACTCCCGCCCGCCTCTTGCAACGGGGGGAGACTCCGTGCTCCTTTTCTCTGTGTTTGACGCCCTAAGTGTCAGCAGTGGTTTGGGCCACGGTCCCCTGTCCTTTTTCTTAGTTTAACGTTTCATTTATTTTTATGTGGCATTCGTACCTCTGACGGTCTCTCTCTTCCACGGTCCTGGCAGATGGAGGCAGAGGGACCGCTCGCCCTTGCCCACTTACGAGTGCCCCCCTCCTCCCTGGTCTTTGCTGGCGGAACGTGCCGCCCGTGTCAGTGCCCGGCGTGTGCACGGCCGGGCTCTCTGGGTTCCGCGCCTGTCGGCGTCGGCGTTGTCATGTGCCAGCACCGCGCTGGTCCGTCGTGGGCGTCTGACCCCCGGTCAGGCCGGCCCCTCCTCGCTCCCAAGGGCCCGGGGGCCCTCGACGCAACGTGTCCTACGAGCTGTGGTGGAGAGACTGGGGTGCAGAGGCCCGAGCACGAGACTGGGCGTCTGCGTGTGTTCTGAAGCCCTTGGCCTGCACCCACCTCCCTTCGTTGACACGCACGGGCCACGTGGCCACGTGTGCGTGCGCGTGTACTTGCACACCTGTGGTGGGTTGTGGGCCGTGTTCAGCCTGAGACCGCAGGGGCCGGGCCGGTGGGGGTGGGGTCTGGGGAGGGGGCGGTGGCAGGGAGGAGAGAGTAAGGGCACCGATGGCGTCCGTCCTCCCAGTTCCAGGACCACGTCCGGGCATGTGGCAGATGCCGAGTCCCGTGCAGGTTCCGTGCTGTCGGCTGCCCCGAGATGGTGAGTCCCGTGGGCCCTGGGTCCGTCCGCTGGGGGCTGGGCGGGTGCCCGTCGATCCTCGTGAGTGGGCGGAGCCTGCAGAAGCGTGCCGCGTGCCCTCTCCCCGAATGCCGGGTCTGCCGAGCCTTCAGACTGGCCTCCTGGTTTCCCTCCCGTTTCTGCTGCCTCGTCCACCTGCTCGGCCGTCAGGTGTCCCAGCCTCAGTCAGGGCTCGCGTCCCTCTGCTGAAAATGCCCAGGGCCTTGTACCTCCCTGGTGTCCGGTGGGCGTTTCTGGCCTCGGCCGCACACTGTGACATGTGCCCACCCCCCTGCCCTTCCCAAAAAGAGCACCTCGTGTCACCGGCCTCACATCCAGGGCAGCCAGAGATCCGTGCGGCCTGCACACAGGTCCTGGACCCACCTGCCTCCCCTACTTCCGTGGCCTTTGTGGCCCTGGCTGCCTCTGACGTCTCTGCACCAGTCACTGGCTTGGCCGTCCTTGGGCACACTGACCCGTTCCCGCCTCAGGACCTTGACCTGTCGTCAGCTTCCGCGCAGCTCCCTCAGGCCTGGGCGGTTCTCCGTCCACTTGGCCTCTACCGTTTTCCCTGACCGTCTGTCCCCCAAGGGGCTCTCTGAGGGCCTGGGGAACGGCCGGTGCTCTGTTCCTCAGAAACTTCCAGGGGTGGTAGCCCCGGCTGTGCTGTCACCTGGTGCCTTGACACCCGGTGTCTGGTGTCCCCTCCCACCATTGCTCATTGTTTGGTGACGTGGTGGCGGTCCATTCCCACGCAGGCCCTGGGCCCCCCCCGCCCTGGGCGCCGCCCGAGGCCAGGCCTGGCCCCGGGTGCCGCAGCCACCGTCCTTCCAGCGGCCAGAGCCCACCGCGGCCTGAGTGCGATTGCCGCTGAGGGCGCGTGTCGTCTCGAGCCTGTTGACCTCATCCTGACCTGAGGCCTCACACACGCCCCTCCGGATTGGCAGGGGCGTCCCGTCAGAGCCCCGCTGGGGAGCTGCGCCCTGGGCGCTGTGCCTCACGGGGCCTCTGTTCTTTCCTTCGTTTGGTGTTTCGGGAGCGTTTAACTTTTTTAAATTTGTCGTGAAGTCTCAGGAGAAATTGGCTACCGGGTCAGAACCGTACGATAAAGAGGATTTGAAGAAGCTTCGCTTTACTAGTCCCCCCCACCCTCCACCTCGGGCAGTTTTAAACCGTGTCTTCTTTCCTGTTACTTCACATAAAAGCAGACGAGTCACCAGGAAGGTTTGGATTTTGGAAAGACAGTGATACCAGCGACAGGTGACGTGCCGGCAAGTGAATGACGCGGTGGCGTCGCCGCACCTTGCGGCACGTCCGTGGGGCTCTGGCTCCGAGCCGAGTGCCGGTGCGGCGCCGTGAGCCTCCCCGTCTTCCCTCTGCAGGTGGAGAGTGAGAAGCAGCAGCAGCACGAGGCCCAGTGGCTCCGGGAACACCTGGCCATGCTGCTGGGCGGCCTCCTGGAGGCCAGGCACCCGTCGGGGGCCGATGGCCGCTTCCTGGGCCAAGGCGAGGTCGGGGGCTGGGAAGCCGACACACTGCACCCCGAGGCCGAGCTCCCCAAGGCCGCGGAGCTCCGGCAGCGGTGTGAGGCCCTGGAGAGGAAGACGGCCACCTTCGAGAACATCGTCTGCGTCCTGAACCGGGAGGTGGAGAGGGTCGCCATGACCGCCGAGGCCTGTGGCCGGCAGCACCGACTGGACCAGGACAGGATCGAGGCCCTGAGTAACAAGGTCTGGGCCCGGGGCCCCCAGGGCTAGTCTGGGCGGGCCTCAGGGCATCACGGGGCCTCGGAGCTGGGATTTCAGGGATGGCACCTTGAGTTCTAGCGTGACGCTCCTCCCGCTTCTCCGCTTCTGGGTCTGAGCCGGAGTCCCTCTCGGAGCCGTGTGCACCGATGGGCCTGACGTGGGGGTGCTGGAGGCCTCTGGGAGGTGGCCCCTTCTCTCGGGCCTGTGGGTTCCACGAGTGCGTTTCCTGACACTGAGCTCTCGAGTCTCGGGCGCAGGTGGGGTTGGGGGTGTTGAGGGGACGGAGCTCCCCTACGAGCTGAGCCCAGTCAAGCCCCGGGCACTGGGAGAAGCCGTCCTGCTCGAAGTCGGTGGAAAGGTGGGCACGGGGGCACTTCCCTAAGCGCCGTCCCGCGAAATGCAAGGTGGCCTCTGAGGCCCGCAGCCCCTCCCGCCGGCACCCTCACGGGGCCCCCTGCGCCCCCAGGTGCAGCAGCTGGAGAGGAGCATCGGCCTGAAGGACCTGGCCATGGCCGAGCTGGAGCAGAAGGTCCACGAGATGGAGGCGTCCACCTTCGACGGCGTGTTTATCTGGAAGATCTCGGATTTCGCCAGGAAGCGCCAGGAAGCTGTGGCTGGCCGCACGCCCGCCATCTTCTCTCCAGGTGCCCTTCTGGAACTTGTCCTCAGAGCTGCTGGTGTCCGAGCTACCCGCGCACCCTCGAGCTGGAGGCCCCCGCTGTGCCGGCAGCGCCTCCGCGGGAGGACGCGGGGTGGGCGGGTGGCCGCCTGGGCCGGGGAGTCCCCTCACGCACGGAACTTCGGGCGGGTACTCGCAGGGGTGTTCCCTGGAAGGCACCGCTGGGGAGAAGGGGGCGCTCGTCCACGCGGCGGGCTCCCTTGCTCTGCCAGGGCCACGTGCGGCCCAGGGCCCTTCCTGCCGAGCCCGGCCCCCCACCCCACGGGCGCCCTTTACCGTTTACTTCGGTGAAGTTGCTACCGTGGTTATGTGTTCGGAGCCCGGGAGAGCGGGGGCAGGGGCGGGGCGCCTCTCCTGCTGGCGGGTACAGGGCCGCAGGCAGGCCCGCCCGCGACCGCGCCATCCCCCGTGTGGAACCGGACGCTCACGCTCTGTCTTCCTGGCTGGGACAGGCGACTGCCGCGTGGGGAGCGGCGTGTTCAGGAGGCCGGCCCCTCTGCACTGGATGCGAGCAGGCAGCTCCTTTTGCTAGCGCGTTTCCTCGGGAGTGGGAGCGTGCCTGCCGATCAGCTTTCCTCCGGGTCCAGCTCTGGCGGAACCTGATAGAGAACGGAGCGTGAGCTCCAGCTGGGGTGGCCCTGTGACACGCCCCCGGGAGACGCTCATCTGTGCTCAGGCAGAGCTGCACAGCCGGAGCGGGCTGGTGTCCGGGGAGCTGAGGGAGGGTGGTTTCTGGGGCCACGGGCAGGAAGGCCGTGAGGGCCGCTCCTGGGGGTGCCCGGCCTCGTGCCGTGTCTGGGCTCCTGCGTGTCTCTGGGCGCCATGCTGGATATTGGGAATGTCGCCTCTGGCTTGTCCCAGGGTCTCCCCCACTGTGCCCTTTCCCGGCCCCGGCTCAGGTCTGACCCCGGCCTTTTGACCCGAGCCCAGCCCCCCCCCCCCCCCGCCCCGAACTTCACGGCTGGTTCTGTTTTGGGGTTACATTTAGAGTTTTTAGAAATGCTGTTTTTTAATGTTTACTTTTGAGAGCAGGTGTGAGTGGGGGAGAGACAGAGTCGGGAGGGCGGACAGAGGCTCTGAAGCGGGCTCTGTGCTGAGAGCAGCGAGTCTGACGCGGGGCTCAGATCTGTGCGCGAACTGTGAGATCATGACCTGAGCTGAAATTAAGACTTGGACGCTCGACCAGCTGAGCCACCCAGGCGCCCCTAAAAGCACTTCTTCTAATCACCTATTTTTCTTTTGGGCGTTTGTTCTCGCTAGGAACTAACTGCGTCCTTAGAGGAGAAGTACGTGCCCCCAACCTGGGTGTTGTCCCTGCGTTTCTGTTCCTTGCGGGGAGCACGAGCCCTCGGCCTGGCTTCACTGACGCTCCCTCCCGTCCCCCCTGCAGCCTTCTACACGAGCAGGTACGGCTACAAGATGTGTCTGCGCATCTACCTGAACGGAGATGGCACCGGGCGCGGGACGCACCTGTCTCTCTTCTTTGTGGTGATGAAGGGCCCCAACGACGCCCTCCTGCGGTGGCCCTTCAACCAAAAGGTATGCGAGGCTGTCCCAGCAGCTGCTCTGGGGACCCCAGTGGGCGGCAGGCTGTCAGGATGGGCCCTCAGGCTCCTGGGCCCAGGGCCTCCACGTGGCTCTGTCGCTGCAGTGGAGCTGGGGCGCCACCCAGTCGGCCCCGGGGCTTCCGGCCACTTAGGGCCAGCGGTTGCAGATGCCGCCTCGGGGCTGGTTTCAGAGGAAGGGCCACGGCTGGAGGCCGCACCTGAGGCTCTTGTGTCATAGTCGGGCTGAGGGATTGGAGGTGCCAGTGCCGGGCCAGCCCCGTGGTCTTCCTGGTGGAGGCAGCGCATCTGAAAAGTGCTGTTCCTCGGGGAGGGCGGCAGGTATTCTGTGAGCCCTCTGGTAAGGAAACGTTTGCCACGTGAACATAAGAAAAGGCACCACGATGCAGCTCCACGTAGCCCGAACTGTAGCCTTGGGTCCCAAGGGTTGGTCACAGAAAGTGCCGGAGCGCAGATCACCCAGGTGGGGTTGACACCCGGTAGCCGTGGAGCGGGGGGGGGGGGGGGGGCCCGGGACTCAGCGTTGTCCCTCCGCGGGGCGCTCTCCCCCAGGTGACCTTAATGCTGCTTGACCAGAACAACCGGGAGCATGTGATCGACGCCTTTAGACCCGACGTGACCTCGTCCTCCTTCCAGAGGCCAGTCAGTGATATGAACATCGCGAGCGGCTGCCCCCTCTTCTGCCCCGTTTCCAAGATGGAGGCCAAGAATTCCTACGTGCGCGATGACGCCATCTTCATCAAGGCCATTGTGGACCTGACGGGGCTCTAGCCGCCTCTCCCCAGGGTCAGGGGTCAGGAGCAGCTGGGCCCGGCGGCTCGGTGAGGAGCCACCACGCTGGGCCTGAGCCTCGCTGCGGGTGGGCGCCTGCCGCCTTCGTGGCCCACCGGGACGGGGCCGCCTCCTGGGAGAGGCCGCTCAGCCCGGGCTGCGTGGGGTGGGCTGCAGGCCCGTCGGTCCCTCCGAGGGCTGTCCGTGTAGGTGCTCGGGGCGGAGTGAGCGGAGCGGGCAAGGTGGGCCGGCACCTTGTCCTGCCCTTTGGCCCCCGGAGAGAAGGGACGCGCTCAGGCCTGGCCGCTGCTCTGAGGAGAGGTCCTGCTGTGCAGGCCAGCGGGCAGGGAGGGCGCTCTGTGTCCTCAGGGCCTCCAGTCAGCCGCCCCCGGGGCAAGCGTGGGGTGCCCGTTGGGCCCTGCTGTGAGACGTGGTGCGGTAGCTGCCCCGTCGGGCTGTGGAGGAGTCGTTATTAAACTGTTAAATCTCTGTGGTGAGTGGTATCCGTTTGCCTCTGGCCTCGGTGGCATTGACCCTCACAGGGGCCTCCTGGCTCTCTGCCGTCCCTCGGTCCCTTCCCTACAAGTGCCCTGTCCCTTCCTGCGTCACCAAGTCCCTGAGCAGTTACGTGGGTTTCCTGACACTCCATGCTTGTTCCTGCAGGCCTTGCGGAAGCCAGCCGTTCTCCTTTCTGGAATCTTCTTTGCTGGCCGGCTCCTCCTCCCTCAGGCCTCCCCAGGGGCTGCCTTGAGAGCAGGTCCACATGTGGCCCCGGCCCCCCCCCCCCCCCCCCCCCCCCCCCCGCAGGGACCTCTGGCCGTGGAAGAACGGCCAGTAGCTTTTGCATTTGGGGATCCGACAAGCTGTGTTGCCTCCCCGGAACCGGGTCTCCTCCAGAGCCAGGTGTTTCCTCCAGTCGGCAGCCAGTGGTGCCAGCCCCCAACCGCAGACCCAAATCTCAGCTCGAGCGGGGGCCTCGGCCCCACGGGGTGCAGCGCTAGGGCAGACTCGGGGTCCTGGCCGCTGGCTGTGTGCACCCGGGTCGTTCCAGAGGGCCAGGCTGGGGGCTGCCCCGGGGGCCTCTGTAGAGAACATGTGACGTGTCGGACTCCCCCCGACGTCCCTGAGAAGTGACGAGACACGAGCGCCAAGAGGAAAGAAACCGGCCCCTGCGGCCACCTCCGAGGACACAGAAGTGCACACGTCCCGCGTCGAGCGCGGTGGTGTCGAAACGTGGCGGAGAAGCTGACGTCCTCCGAGGCCCTTCCCGCTGAGCTCTCCGGAGCGGCGTCCTCACGAGTTTGTGTCTTTTGTTTTCTCACAACCGAGACCTCAGCGCCGTCTTCGCCATGTGAGCACCCCGCTTGCCCCCGCCGCCCCCAAGCTCCCCGGCAGGCCGCCCGCGTCCACGGCCCGACCCCCCCCCCCCCGGTGCCGGGCTCCCTGAGGTGCGCAGGCTGTCGTGGGCGAGAGGCCTGTGGGCCGCGGGCCGCGCCTACTCTGCTCCTGCAGAACGCAGAGCATCGCCTGCCCTTGTCCACTTGTCCGCTGGGCTGTCGGTCTCGTTTTCCTGCCGGTTGGCGAGAGTGCCCGATGCTCCCGGAGGCCGGTTGTTAACCGTGTCAGGAGCGTGTTTGCGACGGGAACCTAAGGTGTAGAATTTCCTTGGTGAACCGTGCTTCTGACCAGCTTATTCAAGAAGTCCTGTCTTCCCAAGGAAACGTTCGGGTATTTTTTCTGATGGTTTTTAAAGCTTCGTCTTCAACACGTTGGGCTTTACTCGGGAATTTGTTTATGGGGTGTGTACATGCGTTTCATTTTCTGTTAGGCCGGCTGGGTTCGATCAAGTGCATTAGTGAGTTTCCTTCCTTTTCGTCAAACCAGAACTGTAAGGCGAGAGGATTGGAAAGGTTTTTGCCCACGGGAACAGGGTGAGGGAGAAGTGAACAGCAGAAGGAAGGTGTGACCTTGTTTTGGAAGGGGGAGGGCGGGTTGGGGGGTGGCCAGCGAGCAGACGAGGGCCCTGCCAGGGTGCCGGCCCGCGGCCGCCTGCTGGTCCTCCCTTCCCTCCAGGGCAGCTCGGTCCCTGCGACCTCGCCCAGACCTCACCCACCCACCGGGGGCCCCGGGCTGGGGGTCTGGAGAGCTTGCTGGACCAGCTCCGGACCAGGAGCGGGGCGCAGGGTGGGGCTCCGGGAGGAGCGGGTACAAGTCTTTGCCGGACCGAGGGCGCCATCCCCTCTCCCTCGCAGGGTGCTGCTGCTGTGGGGACACGCTCCTGCGGGGAGACCGGGGTCCCCGGAGGCAGCACGTGCTCTAGAGAGACACCGTGAGAGGCCTGGCCCCACCCCTTGTCCCGCAGCAGCCTTCCACGCCTGCTGTTGGGGCAGCCCCCTCCCCTGCCCTGCCACTGGCAGGCAGGCGGTTTTCTGTCTCTGCGGCCGCCCGTTCTGGACGCGCACCCGCCCGCGGCTGTGCACACGGCCTTCGGCCCTCGCGTTGGGCTTGCTTGCGTGTGAAGTTGGCCAGGTTCCGCGGCGGGCATCGGGACTTCTTTTCTTCTGAGGCCGAAAGAGACTCCGCGCACGGACAGACCACGTTTCATTGACGTGTCCGTTGATGGACCTCAGGCTGTCCCCACGTCGGCCGTCTTGAGCCACGCTGCCGTGGGCGTCGTGTGCGGTTTGTGTGTGGACGCGGCCTACCAGCGGAAACGGAGGGCTGCGTGTTGAACTGCCCGGTGGCCCGATGCTCCTCGTGGCACACTTTCCACGTAACGCCTTCGTTTCGCCTCCTGCTCCTCCCACGGTCTCTAGAATTTCGAACCTTTACTGGTTTTTAATACAAAAAGTATTTATTTAAAAACAGTAACAGCCACTGTGCCGCATGTGTGGTTTTGGCTCACCAGTGCCTTGTGTCTGCCCGTGTCCCGTCCTGAGGGCCTGTGGCTTCCCGTGTCTGGGTGTATTTTGATGCTGACTGTCTGGGTTTAGCATCGGGTTGACGGTTCTTGTTCCCGTCACCTGGAAGCCAGCCCTGCGCGCGGCCCGGGCCTGCACGGGTGAAGTCTGCTGCGGGTCGGTTCAGGTAAAGCACACTCTCTCTCTCACGGCTTTTTACACCTGTCACGTAAGGTTGATTTACCGTGTGTTTTGGGTGCAGTTGCATCCATCTTGCCACACGTACGGATTGACGGCCAGAATACGGGATAGCGCCATCGTCCCTGTAGACGCCGCTGCGCTGCGGCCCCCGCACCTGTGACTCCCCAGCCAGTGCCCTGCTCTCGTCACCGTGGCTTGTCCGAGGGTGCCGTCAGTGCGGCCCGACAGTGTAGAACCTTCTGAAGCTGGTGCCGCTCGGCAGGATGAACGCCTCGGAGCTTCAGATGTCGTGTGGATCAGAGATTTGTCTTGTCTGTTTGCTGAGGAGCGTTCCAGTGCTCAGACGACCTGTCTGTCTGAGCATACACGTGTCGAGGGGAGTGCGAGCGGTTTCCCGATTTCTGTGGTCCTGCGTAGAGCTGCGCACGTTCGGACACAGGCTGCCGGGGAGCCCGCTTCCGTTTTCCCAGAGGGCCGGCCTGGCTGTTCGTAAAAGATACTTTGGAAGTTCCCGATCCCATGTCCCCGGTGTTTAGACACAGTTGATTTTTGGGTGTTGTCTTTATGTCCCATAAGCTCGATAAACGCACCTACTGGTCCAGGAGGTTGTTCAAGTGTGTGTTTTTGTAGCTTTGGGGGGATTTTTCACATAAACGGTCGTGGCATCTGTGAACAAGGACAGTTGTGTTGTCCTCACACACAGTCGGTATGTCCTTCACGCCTCTTGCCCACCGTGGCCCACCTGCAGAGTCCCCCGCTGGGAGACGGAGCCTGGGTACCAGAAGGGGCTGCCTGGGCCTCGTTCCCGCTCTTGGGAAGGTTCCCTCTTTCACCACCAGGTACGATGTGACCTGCAGCCTGGAGCGATGCCTCCGTCAGGCTGCCGCAGCTCCTGTCCGCCATTCCTGCTTCGCAGAGAACTTTGTCATGACTTGGGTGCTTTGTGAAACGCTCTCTCTACGGCAGGTGTTCCGCCCAAGTGTTTTCCTCTGTTTTGCTGCTGTAGGAGCCGACGTTGACTGGTCTCTGAGTGTGGAAGCAGCCTTGCATTTCTGGATTAAATCCCACTTGGTTGTGGCATACTCTTCATTTTATGTTTCTGGATTTGGTTTCATAATCTCTTGATTTTGCAACTCTACTCGCCAAGGATGTTAAGCTATAATTGTCTTGCTTGTAGTCTGTGGTTTCCATGTCGGGGTGACGGTGGTCTTAGGGAGAAGGCGTCTGGAAGCATTGACGTTGAGGTTTGTTTCGTGACTCGGGCTGTGGTCTGTCTTGGTGGCTCGTCCGTGTCCACCAAGAATGTGTGTCCTGCTCTTGCGGAGTGGAAGGTTCTCCGCAGCTCAGGTAAATCGAGTTAGTTGGTGGTTCTTACAGGCCCACTTTTGTCTCCCCCAAAAAGACACGTTGAATCCCCAGTAACAGAATGTGATCTTAATTGGAAACATGGTCCTTATAGCAATAAACAGCTTAAAAGGAGGCATAGGGTGGGCCCAGTGCAGTGTCATTGGGTAGCCATATAAAAAGGGGAGGCCCGGGGCGCCTGGGTGGCGCAGTCGGTTAAGCGTCCGACTTCAGCCAGGTCACGATCTCGCGGTCCGTGAGTTCGAGCCCCGCGTCAGGCTCTGGGCTGATGGCTCGGAGCCTGGAGCCTGTTTCCGATTCTGTGTCTCCCTCTCTCTCTGCCCCTCCCCCATTCATGCTCTGTCTCTCTCTGTCCCAAAAATAAATAAACGTTGAAAAAAAAAAAAATTTAAAAAGGGGAGGCCCAGGGGCACCTGGGTGGCTCAGTCAGGCAGGTACCCAGCTTTGGCTCAGATCGTGATCTCACGGTTTGTGCGTCCCGGCCCCACGTTGGGCTCTCTGCTGTCAGCGCGGAACCTGCTTGGGATTCTCTCTCCCCCTCTCTGCCCTCCCCCACTCTCTCTCTGTCTCTCACGCGTTAAAAAAAAAAGTTCTTTAATAAAAAAAGGGGTGGGGAGATTTGGACACAGACACACACAGAGGGACGGTGGTGGGAAGGGACCCAGGGGGAGGCCAAGTGAGGACGGAAGGTCGGACCGCAGAGTCAACAGACGAGGACACCCGAGGACGGCCGGCCCCCCGGCAGCTGGAAGAGGTGAGGGGGGTCTCCCTGCAGCGAGCACGTGGACTCGTGGCCTCCAGAACCAACAGGCTGTTCCCCCCCCCCCCCCCCCCCCCGGCGCGGGGTTCCCGGTCACAGCAGCCCCGCAGGTGCGTACGGTGGCCGTTCGGTTCGGCCCCGAGGCAGGACGCCGGCTCCCGCTGCCGGCGGCCTCTGCTCTCTGTCCCGCCGCGTTGCTCCGGCTGTGCTGAGGCTCTTTTGTGAGCCACGCACACATTGGGGGAATGTCTTTCATCCATGGG